ACCCGGTGTGGTCACGCACTCCCATACTCCCAGCTACTCCAACTTGGAAGGCTGAGTCAGGAGGATTGCTTGAACCTAGAAGTTCAAGACAAACTTCATAAATACAGCAAGACTACTTCTCAACAAAACAAAAATGAACTTGAGGGTTAAACAGGTGAGAAAACTCTGTCAGCCAGAAAGGCAGAGTAAAGCCATTAAACCAGAAGACTCACATGTAAAGAAAAATCCCAAGACCGATCCCTGCCACACAACTGTCACTCAATCTATCACACAGGACAAGAGCCTGTATGTATCTCAAACCATTTTCAAGGAGCGCTATACACAAAAGGAAGACAAGTGTCAGTGTTGTGTCCCAGCACAGAGATGAGGCCAGAGAAAGGCAAAGGAGACACGGAGCAGATAGTGGAGATAGACAGCTACTCACCCGGCTTGGACTGCTTGTTGCACTTCTCAGTGTTGCAGCATTGGTGGTCATATCTAAATGTCCGATGGTTTCCCAGTGTTACTGAGAATGCTAGTTCAGTACACCCATCTTTAGAACAGCCTTTCTTCAGACTCCTTAGGCTTATGGTTGGAACTGTTGAGAAACAAATCCCCCCGAAATGTTCTCTTCTGAGAAACAGAGAGAGTGAAGTATCCAGTGGTAAAGAATCTGTTCCTTCATTCTCTCTGTCTTTATTTTTCCTTATCTCCAAAAGTCCCTCTGTTATTATTTCTGAGAAGGACTCAATAGTGGGACACTTTGTCACAATGGGACCAGGGTCCAGTGAGAGTATTTGCTTAGCATTGCATGGTGCCATGAATTTGGTCCCCAGCATGGCAAAAAGAAATGTGGACTCACTCTCCAGTAGCTCTATAAGGTTGATATGAGAAACAGAACCCGGGTCTCTCAGCTCTGTCTCTAGGGACTACATCCAGCGCCATTGCTCATCCCCACCACTTCCCAGAAGCCCACACTCCCAGACCCATCTTTGAAGGAGGCAAGGATAAACTATGTGGCTGTAAGAATGCAGGTTGACTTACTTAGTGCTTCAAAGTCCTGCTCTAGGTGGAAGCAGTCTTTAGAGGATACACAAGTCGTCAGACTAGCTTTGCATCTGTCATTATAGCAATCTTTGTTTTCACAAGGATAATTACCTGCAAAGAAGAAATAAACATGCTCAGAAAACATCCCAGGGGTTGTAGCTGCTGACAAACTTTCCCACGGGTCAAGGAGTCATGAATCTTGAAGGGACTCCTGAAGACTTGAATGATCTATGGAGTCCCCCTAAAGTATATTACTGCCCAGCTCCCACTTCCTACCCTTGAAACAAAAAGCACCTTGTTACTCTTACCCACAGAGCTGACAAATAAGTGAGTGAAGATGCAGACAGCAAGGAGACCCTTCAGAACTGAGGGCCAGGACATGGTGAGTCCCATGAACACTGCACAAAGAACAAGAGAGGACAAAGGAATCAGAGCTTAGGGGCTCAGCCCTTGTAATCCAACAACCCTAATGCAGGCAACATTATCATGTTTCCATTCATTCACTAATTCATTCTGCACGCCAAATTTTATCAAACACTGGCTTGATGCTAGATGCGGCCATTTGGAAGGATGCAAAACTGGAAAAGATGCTGTACCCATCGTTGAGACTTCAAGGGAATAGTCAGTCATCCTTCCCTGGGAAGGACTTTGGCTTGGGAGGGATTCTTCTTGCATGGGTCTGGAAGACACTAGATTTCCTTCCACAGCTGAAATGGCTGAGCTGGTCAAGAAATGGCTCCTCTGGGGAGCAGGTGGAGGTTCTCTTTGTGCTAGAAAGTCCTGGACCACAGTACACATCAGCCCTTTAACTAAGGACATCCAAAGCCACCATTTCACAAAGAGCCAGCCTCCACCGCCAGATGTCACAAGCATACACTGGAGATGCTGGCCAAGAAGTAGTCCCAATGGCTAAAGGATGTTGAGCACTTTCTTATGTGTCTTTCAGCCATTTTAGATTCCTTTATTGAGAATTGTCTATTTAGTTCTGTACCCCACTTTTTAATTGTATTCTTTGGTTTTTGGAGACTAGCTTCTTGAGTTCTTTGTATATTTTGGAAATCAGCCCTCTGTCAGATGTGGGGTTGGTGAAGATGTTTTCCCATTCTGTGGGCTGCCATTTTGTCTTGTTGACTGTGTCCTTTGCCTTACACAAGTTTCTTAGTTTCAGGAGGTCCCATTGATTAATTGTCAATCTCAGTGCCTGTGCTACTGGTGTTTTGTGTTCAGGAAGTGGTCTCCTGTACCAATTCATTCAAGGGTAGCTCCCACTTTATCTTCTAAGAGGTTCAGTGTGGCTGGATTTATGTTGAGGTCTTTCATCCCTTTGGACTTAAGTTTTGTACATGGTGATAGATATGGATCTATCTGCAATCTTTTACATGTCCGAATCCAGTTATGCCAACACCATTTGTTGAAGATGCTTTCTTTTTTCCATTGTATAATTTTAGCTTCTTTGTCAAAAATCAGGTGTTCATAAGTCTGTGGGTTAATATCAGGGTTTTCAACTCTATTCCATTGGTCTACCTGTTTATTTTTGTGCCAATACCAAGCTGTTTTCAAGACTATAGCTCTGTAATAGAGCTTCAAGTCAGAGATGGTGTTGCCTCCAGAGGTTCCTTTATTGTACAGGGTTGTTTTGGCCATTCTGGGGTTTTTTGTTTTTCCATATAAAGTTGAGTATTGTTCTTTCAAGGTCTGTGAAGAATTGTGTTGGGATTTTGATGGGGATTGCATTGAATCTGTAGATTGCTTTCAGCAAGATTGCAATTTTTACTATGTTGATCCTACCTATCCAAGTGCATGGGGGATCTTTTCATTTTCTGGTATCTTCTTTAAAAGTTCTTGTT